GTGCTTTACTGCTGTAAACAGTGAAGAAAAGCACAGATTCCTGACAGCAATTCAGAGAGAGTCGACTGAACTGCAGCTTTGAAGCAGAAGAGAAGCAGAAAATGGCTTTCCAGGTTTATTATGTGAGCTTCTCCCACTGGAGAGAAAATCCCACATCTCTTTAATATCTCAACTGTCTCCTAAACAGCAGCCAAATTCATTTGCTCTCCGTTTAATTTTCTCCGGCTTCTCAATGTTTTTCTGATCAGATTCTCAAAATATCAAATAATCTGAGCCACTCTGCATTCATTCTGTAGCACCCATTCACTGCAGAGGATTATTATGGTATTTTTAAAGTGCTCTCCTTGCATTTTATATTTACATTCACGTATTTGGCTTTTATCCGAAGCGACTTGCATTGCAATGCTTTTGTGAATAATTAAGCGAAGCGTCTTCTCATAGGATAAGAACACGCAGTCTCATTAATAATTTAATAGACACCGATGCGTCATCGATGTACTATTAGTCCATTGCCACGTCACAAATTGTGACGTCAACACAATGTAGATTTTAAACCCGGAAGCTTAAAATTAACCAGTTTTCTCCAACAGTTAAAATTATCGGATGCTAACAATGTCTTCTATGATGTGCAACACAATCACCTCTGCTAAAATCTCAGAAAAAGTAGTCTGGGGTTTCATGACCCTTTAAGTTACATTTAATGCATATTCATGTTTAAAGTCACAGTTTAAAATGTTATTAATGTTTCTGAATAATGGCGAGAGAGAGCAGCACAAACTGAGAAGCAAGAAAAGCGAGTGAGACGTAAAGAATAAAGCAAGCGACTGCAGGAACTCATGCTTTAGATTGCAGACGCGTGTGAGAGATTCAGTCTTGTGCTTTACTGCTGTAAACAGTGAAGAAAAGCACAGATTCCTGACAGCAATTCAGAGAGAGTCGACTGAACTGCAGCTTTGAAGCAGAAGAGAAGCAGAAAATGGCTTTCCAGGTTTATTATGTGAGCTTCTCCCACTGGAGAGAAAATCCCACATCTCTTTAATATCTCAACTGTCTCCTAAACAGCAGCCAAATTCATTTGCTCTCCGTTTAATTTTCTCCGGCTTCTCAATGTTTTTCTGATCAGATTCTCAAAATATCAAATAATCTGAGCCACTCTGCATTCATTCTGTAGCACCCATTCACTGCAGAGGATTATTATGGTATTTTTAAAGTGCTCTCCTTGCATTTTATATTTACATTCACGTATTTGGCTTTTATCCGAAGCGACTTGCATTGCATTCAATATACAGTCAAACTAAAATTTATTCAGACACCTTCAACATTTCTCACATTATATCACAGTTTATTCGCTGTAGTTTAGAAAATGGTAATAAAATATGGCAAAACTCAAAGTTAAACTGTGTCAGAACAAACTCATCTTGATAATGTCAGATAACTTTGATAGAAAGGTATGTAATGAATTCTGTTGAATAGCTGTCAGCTGTTACATTTAATACACAATTAGATAAAACCAATTTAGCTCAACTAATTAGCAAGCAGTGCTTCCTTTAGTTCAGTCTGTGGAGTAAAAAGATCACATTAGCAATTAAAGAAAAACACTTCAGCAAAACATGCTCGGCTCAAAGTGTCTGAATCATTGTTGATCCGGTAGTCCACTGTATGAAGAGTTTTTGGGTGTAATATGTCACAGTTCACTTTATTTTGCTCTCCTCACTTACATAAATGAACTACAGTGTCCTGCACCCACTAGTAAAAACATATTGGTGTCTGAATAATTTTTGGTTTGACTGTATATATGTTATCAGTTCATGCAGTCACTGGGAATTGAACCCATGACCTTTGACAATGCTGCCAGCATGCTTTACTGTTCGATTTACAGGACTTTTATATAAAAGAACAGCGTGAACATTCTGCTAAACGTCTGCTTTTATGTTTCACAAAGGGAAAGAATGACAGTGACAGAATTGTGATTGTTTGGTTGTGCTGCTCCTTTAAGTGCACAAATCTCCTTCTCTTTCGTCTTTATGTTTGGACACAGGCGTCTTCGCTGCATACGAGTCGACCTGTGGAAATACCTGCGTCTGTGATGGAGGGACAAACATCCATCAGGACGGATCAGCGTCACTCCTGTGGGGGTGATTTGAGGGGAACCGGCGGCGGGTGACGAGGACGTGCACGCATCTGTGTCTAACATGATGAATGGCTGCAGATTGCTGTGTCATAACTGCGGCCTTTACCTCGCCTCACCCGCTCCATATCATAGCAGGTCAGTCACCGGCACATTAGGACAATTAAGACGGCCTGTAACCTTCTCGTCTGGCTCTCTACGTGAGTGGAAAGACTTCCATGACTGATGACACCATTACCACACACAAGCTGCTGAGATTACCCAGAATGACCGCTTAGTGAAGAAAGTGTGTGTTGGACTGAGGACTGTGCTCATATATGACTGGATTTACCCTACTTAGTGTTATGTGTATTAGTGATGTTAACTAGAGGTCGACCGATTTTACCGATACTGATAGCCGATACCGATTAATCAACCAGTAGTTTTTAAAATGGATACCGAACGAAAACTAAAATAGTGCTTTACTATTTAAAAAAGCAGTACTGAAACATATACTCATAACTATTGGCTGATTGTTCCAGCAATCAACTATCAATTACTAAACAATTAAAACAACAATTTACTAAAAGAAAATTTCAGGTATGGGGCCCCAACACAATAACTATATGCTCTATAACTGTCAAAATGGCAGAAAAACTAAATTAGAATTTTGTACTTCAATATTATCAATATTCAAATTATATTCTAATTTAAAAGAGGGCGCATCGAGCAAAATATTACTAATGCACATTTATTCAAAGCAATAAAATAACACGACTATCTTTTGGAAAAACGTGCATAATGTTTAAAATAATGTTTATAAACCATATATAATTAAGCTGTTTAAACAATTAGAAACAAAACAGCATCATGTATAATACAAAGGACTGAAAACCAATCACAAAGAGTACTTTTTCTATTTAAAAACATGAGATGCAGTGGGATGGGGAAAAACGGCCATAAAGTCTCGAGACATGTTTTTTATAAGTTAAATTACATTACATGGCTTTCTAAACATATGGCTCTCTTGTGTGAGATTTCTATTTTAAATTCGACGAATATTCGAAATTAGACAGTTTTTTTGACAGCTTTACGCCTAACCCTTATTTTGCTCTCTCTCTCTCTCTTAGGTTATAGCTATAACTAGTTTATTTATCCCTTCACAACTTAAGTAAATAATTAGTCAACCTGATGCTGTTCTAAAACCATATTAGGCTCCCTTAATTTTTTTCGGATCACAAAAGAATACATTATAAAAACAATGCTTGCACTTGTCCATTTAATGAATTGTAAACTTCTTCAATCTTTAAACAAAAAGGTATCCTTAAAGTGTCCTTAAGACTGAAACATATACTCATAACTATTGGCTGATTGTTCCAGCAATCAACTATCAATTACTAAACAATTAAAACAACAATTTACTAAAAGAAAATTTCAGGTATGGGGCCCCAACACAATAACTATATGCTCTATAACTGTCAAAATGGCAGAAAAACTAAATTAGAATTTTGTACTTCAATATTATCAATATTCAAATTATATTCTAATTTAAAAGAGGGCGCATCGAGCAAAATATTACTAATGCACATTTATTCAAAGCAATAAAATAACACGACTATCTTTTGGAAAAACGTGCATAATGTTTAAAATAATGTTTATAAACCATATATAATTAAGCTGTTTAAACAATTAGAAACAAAACAGCATCATGTATAATACAAAGGACTGAAAACCAATCACAAAGAGTACTTTTTCTATTTAAAAACATGAGATGCAGTGGGATGGGGAAAAACGGCCATAAAGTCTCGAGACATGTTTTTTATAAGTTAAATTACATTACATGGCTTTCTAAACATATGGCTCTCTTGTGTGAGATTTCTATTTTAAATTCGACGAATATTCGAAATTAGACAGTTTTTTTGACAGCTTTACGCCTAACCCTTATTTTGCTCTCTCTCTCTCTCTTAGGTTATAGCTATAACTAGTTTATTTATCCCTTCACAACTTAAGTAAATAATTAGTCAACCTGATGCTGTTCTAAAACCATATTAGGCTCCCTTAATTTTTTTCGGATCACAAAAGAATACATTATAAAAACAATGCTTGCACTTGTCCATTTAATGAATTGTAAACTTCTTCAATCTTTAAACAAAAAGGTATCCTTAAAGTGTCCTTAAGGCATACAGTAGGATTTGCAGAGAAACAAATCGAAAATTTAACCTATTATTAAGAGAAAATGTCAAGTCATCGCATTCGTGCATTTATACGAGTGCGCGGCAGCGCGTAGGAAAAGCACACAAGCGAGTCATTTTGAAACATCAAGACAAATAAAATCATGACACCAAACACGATTCTTTCTTCTCTGAGGTTAATATATCTGTTCTGAGATGGTCTGACAGTATTATACAGCCTAGAAAATACACAAAGAGCGCAACCGCTATATTCACAAAAAAATGTCATTCTCTTCAGTTCATTGCGATCTCACGATGTTCTGTTAAACAATGAAGCTGTCTGCACTGCACAATGAATATCTTATTTACATTGTATCTACAATTTGTTATAATGAGAGGATTTGCGAGCTTGCAGAACTCAGCACCTGACAAAAACTTAGCATTTTGAGCGGTGAGTGAACATTTTAGGCTCTCCATAACACAATTGCACACTGGAGCGTTTGCAAAATATGTTTTGCCAATATCAGATGGGACCCCTTGATTCCCCCGCTTACCTCGCATTTCGGTTAAGTCTGCCCCTGACTATCGGTGCCGATTAATCGGCAAAACCGATACATCGGTCAACCACTACAGTACTGGTGCACTGAAACACTAGCAACCACCCAGAACACATAGCAGTGCCAAAACAACCACCTAGACTACTACAGTGATTGCATAGAAACATGCTAAAAAACACAGAGCAGCAACTGCACAGGAACCAAGTGGCGAGTGTTGCACAGGTCAGCGTCACTGGAATCTCCTCCGCAAATGTAAAAGTGTAATTTGTTCCTATCTGTGATCTTACAGTGACGCACTTCTTTCTCGCTCTAAACTCTGTCATGTTTTATCAGTGACCCGGCACACACAGACTGTAAAGAAGGAGGAGTTTGTGACCTTGAGAGGACGGAGGAGATGATTGGGACGAGATCAGACGCGTTTATGGGCTGATTTACAGGGACTGGTGATTTCTTCATGAATGATCTATGGAGTGTGTGAGTGCAGACCGGGCTCTTTATCAGTCTCACAGATACAGCTTTCCTTCTGTCTGTTCACAGGACAGGAACGTGGCACTTGGAAGGGTTTGAGTTGCACAGAGCTGGGTAGATTACTCACAAATTGTAATCCATTACATATTCCAAATTACTTGACAAAAAATTTAGTTAGTAACGTAATCCATTACATTACACATTTTAGGTATAATCAGACTACTTTTAGATTACTTTTGACCTAACTCGTTTATCACATTGATTTATTAAGTAGGATAATCTTGTACCATATTGATAAAAATACAAAGAGTAAGAAATATATTCATTGTTATATTAACAACATGAATTGCATTGAACATTATATTACGTCTAGGTTTCCCAAACTGGGTTTTGTGAAGGAACTGAAAGGGGGTTTATGAGTTTAATGAAAAGCTAATAATTAATTAAATTATAAAAATGTTAAATTAAAATAAGTCATTATAAAATCAATCAAAATAAAATTCTTATTAAAAAAAATTTAATATTTTATTTGTTTACCCGCATGTCGTGTGACCATAACCAGCGTCAGAGAACCATGAACATGCAAATGTGATCGTTAATTATTAAAATATTCATTTTAAAATCTCAGGGGTCCTTCAAGTAAATATATTATAGTGAATTTGTTAATTCATGAAGTTGTGCATTTTATTTGAGTATGTATATATACACTTCATTTAGTAATACGTCATTTTATATATTTATAAAGTAGTATTATTTAACAATGAAAATAGTCTCTCATTTTTAATTTTTCACATTGCAGTTAAGGGAATTAGGTGGGTCCAAACAATGTGAGGATGCTTAAATGTCATTAAAATAATCTTAGTCAAAAATATTCATGTTTGTTAAAAAAAAAATATATATATATATATATTAATTTAATTTAGTATATAATTTACTATGAAATTATAACTTTTTGTCACTAATTGTTTTTTGTGGATTCTGATGCCATTTTTTTCTGTATCAGCAGCATCTTCTGTCAAACACCTGCAGTTTGTCGTTGATGATCTGAATGAATGAATGAATGAATGAATGAATGAATGAATGACTTTGCTGCGTCTTTCTGCTGCAGAAGGAAACTCAAGGACGTGAGGAAGGTGAGCAGAAAGCTGAATGGCTAAAGTCACATTGTGTCTGGATTGTCAGGAGATTGGCATTAAATTTTCACAAGATTGCACGGCAGTATTTGTGCCGGACGTTTGCAGCATTAAACTTTCATGCCGCTGCCGCATCGCTGAGGAAATTGACTTATGCTTTTTATTTAAAGCTGCAAACCAGGCTGCGCTCGACTCAATCAATATATACTGAAGACCAGATCAGATCCAGCCTTCTCGTGCAGCCTGTGCCCTGATCAACAGGTCATTATTTATGTTGCTCCAAACTCATATCACCATTTTTTCCCTTCCAGAACACTATATATGTATATAGTGGTCTTATACGAACAGCTCTGAGTGTCACAGGTCAAACTGCTTAAAGTTTCTGACTCATATTTTCCCATCAGGAGCAGGGATTGGATTATAATGATGGCAGCAGTATGCGTGCATTAGCCTAATATACAATGAGATCCTGACATTTAATTCTAAAGTTCAGATAGAAAAGGTAATTGCTTTTGAATGACCTGTTAATGCATTAGAAGAGCGGCAGAAAGCCACAGGAACATTATCTAGTTCTCTAATGCTGAACAGCAGGAGTATTTCCCTCCAGCTTTATGTCTAGATCTGATTTCTGTAAGTAAATAATACCTGCATGTATGTTTCTGCTTCTGAATGACCGAATTGTCATGAGGCCGTCAGATGATAAAGGTCAGGTGCTCGTCTTCCTCATTAATAAAGCTGGGAAAGTGTGAATATTCATAGTCTGGGCCTTTGGTCCGGTGACAGGGAAGCTGTTTTATATTTCCACATCAAATCTTAATAACCAGCTATGAAATGCACACACCTTTCGCATGAAATTTTGCATGCATGATCTTTATATTAACGGACACTGTAATGTATCTCATTAAAAAACTCGGTGATAAAAACGTCCGTAAAGCTTGAGGACAAAAGGACGGTTTGACCACACAGAGTTCTAGATCTTCATGACTGACTACAAACTGTGTTTCATGATGCCGGCTGTCAGCATCTTTACAGTGTTTTTAGATATATTTTGTGCTTTTAATAATAGTTATTTCAGTTGGTAAGAAAAAAAATATGGTATTGCATACAGATATATATTGCATTTGAACTTTATACATATTATTTCATATAAATAAAGGTCCTAATCAATAAAGGTGCTTTGCAAAACTGGCCATATACAATATATAAGTATATAAAAGCAATAAAAAATGTAATATAAAAGTAAAGTATATAATTTAAAATATAATATTTTAAAAATATTATAATGTGTCATTAATGTAAATTAGTAAATTAAAATGTAAAAAAAATCATAATTTTATATAGCACATTTCATACACAATGGTAATCGAAAGTGATCGTAAAAAGAATCATAAAAAATAATCAAAACAGTAAAAACAAGGAATTTAAACATTTTAAAATGATTAAAAAAATGTATTTAAACTGAATTAAAACGGTTAAGAATAGGTATATAAAAGTGGTATAATTAATTAGAATTAATACTGATAAAAGTAAATATATATAATTAATAAACTGATATAAATATGTTACTATTATATAGCAATATTACTATATATATGTGTGTGTGTGTGTGTAACTTTTTACAATTACATTTTATACATAACATTATTAGTAAATAAATTAATAATAATGATAATAGCATTATATTATAATATTTAAGTATATTAAAGTAAAAAATAAGAAATTTTATATAGGCTTTATAAAGTCATGTTAATTGAGATATACCACGAGTATTTATTCTTTAACAAAAAAGTTTTTTGCTCTTTGAGTTCTGACAGTAGAGTGAGGTCAGTGTTAGTTCTGACATGTCAGATGAGGAACAGCGTCTGCTTTCATAATAACTATAATAATGCGCTTTCCCTTCATCATTAAAGCCTCTCTGTTAGTCTGTCAGTCAGCTCGACTCTGACTGATATACGCCTGACACTTCTGTCACGAGACAAGCTCTTAGCGTGTTTAAACCGCATGTGACCCTGGAGCACAAAACCAGTTTTAAAGGGGTCATATGATGCCCATTTTCCACACGTTGATATGATTCTTTAGGGTCTTAATGAAAAGTCTGTAACATAGTTTGGTTAAAATTTCTCAATGGTAGTGTAAAAAACCATTTTTACCGTCAAAAACAGCTCTGTTCAGATCAAGCCGTTTTTGTAGCATTTCCCTTTAAATGTTAATGAGCTCTGCTGGCCCCGCCCCTCTCTTCCAGCTGCTCTCTGAGAGACTGTTTACTTTAGCCGCATTCATCGTGAAACTTGCTAATTAGCACATTATTAGGAAAGGCGATTTGCAAAGATTCATTACAAAACATTATACTCACTTCTTCTGTAGGTGAAGCTGGATCACGAATGATTCGCGCGAACATAGACGCATTTATGTAGATCGGGGGCGCATTCCCTTCAGAAACAAACGTGATCCACTGCGTCTTCAGCGGCTCAGATGTCGAGAGTAAATGACGACTGCTGTTCATTATTACATCCAACAATGAAACACCTCAATCGCTTAGGAGACATTCTTGTCTACATCTGCTCCAGTGCTGAAACAATGGCGGACTGATGACAGTCACTCAGGGGCGGAGCTAAGGTAAGATGCTACTGTCAATCAAACTATCGTGGGAGGGGCCTGACTGTGTGACGTCACACAGACAGGCATCTGAGATCGGCTCGATTTGAGAAAGGGGAAAACATTTAACCAGATTTTAAAAAGCATCCTATGACCCCTTTAAGTCGCTGGGGGATATCTGTAGCAATAGCCAACAATACATTGTATGGGTCACAATTATACATTTCTCTTTTATGCCAAAAATCATTAGGATATTAAGTTAAGATCATGTTCCATGAAGATATTTTGTACATTTCCTACCGTAAATATATCAGAACTTAATTTTTGATTAGTAATATGCATTGCTAAGAACTTCATTTGGACAACTTTAAAGATGATTTTCTCAATATTTAGATTTTTTTGCTCCCTCAGATTCCAGATTTTCAAATATTGTCCTATCCTAACAAACCATGCATCAATGGAGAGCTTATTTATTCAGCTTTCAGATGATGGATGAATCTCAATTTTGAAAAATTGACCCTTATGACTGGTTTTGTGCTCCAGGGTCACAGATGTCTGTGTGGAGAAATATAGGTCATCTATATCTGACTCTCTGAAGCGAGAGTTTCTGATCTGATGAAGCTTCTAGGCTGATTTATAGCATCACACGTGGATCTCATGAGCGTTATTTGTTCTTTTAGTTTGACTTTGAGTTGCTCATAATGTGTGTGAATGTGAAGCAGATGCGATGTTCCTCCCACACACTGTACATCAGTGATGAATGTTTACAGACACAAACGCTCGCTCGCTCTACTGTCGCTGTGTGGAGCGTCTGCAGAAACATCAACGTGCCTTATGAGTTATGAGTTATGAAACATCAGCAGAAATAACATGCATGACAGACGCTGAAGCTTCTTTAACACGACACATTTATTCTCAACATTTACTAACACTTAATTAAATTCCCTTTGAAAAAAAACCTGCATTTTATTTTATTTTCTTCTTGTAAACTGATAGTTTAATATATTTTGGATTTGACACTTTACA